ACTAGGAAACAGCATCCATGGAGCCAGAGGGGTTTTAGTGCTTTAGTGCCAATGATGCTTCAGCAGGATGGATACAGGCTGTCATGGAAGTTAAAACCCAGCCTTCAGTGTCAAAATCACACTCCTCCAGTTCAAAAATGGTGTCCCTCACCGCCATGCCACTCTGCTTCCCTCTCTAAAGGAGACTTTTTCTGTCTGAGCACATCAAACCATCTCTCAAAATGTCTTTGAATCTGCCCAGCCACTTTCACCCTGCCATTTTCTTCCCAATTTCCTCAATACATGACCTTCTTTCCTATCCTTCATCTTTTTTTAAGACTCTCAAATCTTCTTTTGCCACCGTCTGAGCTAAAATGGCTTTCCTTACTATCCGTAATAAGTAGTGCTACAGTGATTTGTGTTTGAAAGGCTCCCTCAATCCAATCTTGGTTGATATTAAAAAGAAACAGCCCTTTCAAAAATAAAGAGTAACTTGGAGATACATAATATTACAAAATGTATTTAGTATTGTTGGAGTAACCACATCAGTTGAAGAAGACTACACTCCAATGTTTACAAGTGGAACTGGAGCAGCCTTAAGACTGAGTGTGTGGACAATAAAAGGCAAGATAGGCCTAATCAGTAATGGCGGATCTCCTTTTAGCTTCAATAAGGAATCAACAGACACCATGGTGTTACGAACAATTTAAAGCCAGGTGTTTGTGACTGCCCTTTGCACTCCAGCATGAGGTAAATCTGTGTTTAGAAAAACAAGTCACGCCTCTGAAGCTTTGTGTAACATCTGTGAAATGCAAAAACAACATATGCACTGCACACACTCTAAAGATAATCAACCACTTGTTTTCATGATTTGATTCAAGCTCTGAAATTAGGTCACGCGACGACACCTGAGAGCCCTTTGCCGACCAGACCACAGAGTTATTGCAGTCTATTTTCAGGGGGACTGGAATGTGTGTACCAAATGTTATAGTCATCCCTCCAATTTGTATTTTAAACCATGCCTTATGGACAAGGCATCCCATGATTATGAGTTAAATAATTAGCATTAATTCTGTTTGCATAATGATTTATGCAGTTCATTCCATGGCATACCTGAGATAAGTCAACCTTGACTCTACTGTTTGATCAACAGAACAACATTTTCATAAATACAGCTTTACCAATAGCTTAAAACGCCCCTCACAATTACAAAGCTCCCTCCAATAGAAACTCCTAACCCCCCCCCCCCCTCCCACCATACGCATCTCTTTTCAACATTAATAATATATTTAGATGTTGTCCACTGTTGCTGTCTAGACTCTGTATTCAAAGACCTGTCAGTCGTCGTGTAAGTAATAGCAAGCTCCGGTCTTCTGTTTTACATTTCATGTTCCCCTCTAAATCCTTGTCCACAGGTGGATCATGCCTTGAGGGTTCCTGTATTAAGATTTAAATCCAAGTGGCCCTGGAACTTGTCTCATGATAAATTCATATGCCATCTTTGGGTCAGACAGCATATTATTTCATTATTCAAATACAGATATTGCCTCATTCCTAATTCTTAGGAGCTTTAGAAGGTGTTCAAATAAAGAAATTTGCATCAACATCCAAGCCAGTGCCTCCTTAAATTAGTCTCCACCACACTGCATATATTTCAGCTCCCGCTAAAGCAGACTTTCACACAGTTGGACTTAAATTAGAGTGGAGCTAGGTGCCCTGGTATGGAGAAATGGTCAGTGGCGGTTAGAGCAAACTGTTATCTTAATCATAATGTTATGCAACGTCGAAACAGTACCCATTAATGTCATTTTCAGTAATTACTGAAGTACTGTGGCTGGGAGAAAAAGGAAAATACAGCAATCTCTTTTTGATGTCGTAGATCAGGCATTAACTGTGCTTCTTGAAATGTGGAAAAATGGTTTGTTAAAAACATTACTAAACGGAAAAATACAAGACAAGATAACAACCATGTACGTATAACAGCCTCTATAATAAATGCTGCAGTGATTTACAAGCAAATTGTTGATGTTGTGCACGAAGGTTAGTGCTGTATCTGTTGGTCCAGAATAAAAGCAGATGGTGATTTCATATTGATGCTTATGTTCTTTTTTCACACTAAAGGTTTTCAACTTGTTGCCATCCTAAACTGAATTTCTTTTCGGATATCATATCGCATTAACAACACCATATCTGGCGTCACAGAGATCTTCTGTTACTGTCCTTTCTTCTTAGAGGAAGTACAGAAACACGTAACTCTGGATTTGTTTTAATGTTTGAGGTGCAATAAAAGACACAGCAGTTTTTGGCATGTTGAAACTATTATTCTGCCTCGCTCATGAGAGTAACAGCTGGCGAAATGACAACCTCGCCTACTGATTTCAAATGTGTGCTCTAAAATGATATTTATAAATGACTATTATCATTATTATAAGCAAGACAATAAATGGCAAAGATATGTAGAAAATAAACGTATTTAAGATACGTATTTAAGATACGTTCATAAGAAACGTAACGTGGGAGAAAATACGTTTCTAACTAAACGTAATTGAGAATGCAGTTTAGTTCTGTGGGAACGTAATTTTTAGGAGACAGGGTTGCCCCACGCCCCTCTGAGAGATATTTGGTTAAAAAGCCCATGCACAATGGTGCTCTAGGAGGAGATTCAAGTGATAAGGTGGGCGGGGGTTACCTTGGTTGGTGATTGGCTAATGTTTACACAAGCCAAAAAATCGTTATGATATCATAAAGTAGCCAAAATCTGATCAACTCATTTTCAGACAGGTTTTTATATAAATGCATCAGGACAAAAAGTGAGCAAATCTTTTTTCCTGAAACTTTCAGAATCTCTTTACACAGAGGGGACACATGTTCATGTATAAAAGACATGAAAAAGTGGATTTTGTATAATAGGTGACCTTTAAAGCTGAAGGAACCGGTTTCAAATGTGCATTAATCATATAAAAGCTACTCATGGGGGAACATTTTAAGAGCTAATATGTCCTTTATTATATTTTTCACAGGCAATGCGTATGCAGACAGAGATGGAGCTAAGGATGTTCAAGCAGAACGAGTATGTCTACCACAGTATGAGAGAGGCAGCACTGAAGAACAAACCGATGACCATGATGCAAGCACCCATGCATATGGAGGAGGGAGTCAAGAACCTCTTCCACCGGAGGAAGTGATTAAGCAGATGAAGGAAAAACACCCCACTGTTTACCGTTACGTTTTCTGAGTGTCAGTGTGTGAGTCTTCACGTTTAGTCACATGATCATTTTCTGTTTCACTCAATTTTGTAGTTACGCTTTTCATTAAAAAGATGTCACATCGAACCTGTGTAGTATTTTTCTTGTCTGATATCATTTCAGTACTCTTCCCTCTGAAAATAAACAAAGCTGGTTATACATTTGGCACTTTGCTTAACCAAGACATCTCAAAAAACATTCTACTAAATGTATAAAAAAAACAAGTCAATCACATCCCTCACTTAGGAAAAACGGCTACCGGTACTTCTTATTTGAACTTTTTCAGAAGACGTTTTAATTTTTGATTCAGTCGGCACCATTCAAATATACTTTTGAAATGCTAATTGTGCAAACATTTTATTATTTTATTATTCTCTTCAAATAACAGGAACTTACATTTCATTGTAACATTCTTAATAGTAAACATCAAACATAGCCTTTATACAAATGACAGTTGTTTCAAGTTAGGCTAATGGTTCATATCAGTAAGGTTCCCCACACATTTATTTGTGTTAATGTAGGCCCTGTGGAACGTTTCCTCATAAAGCCATTAATACTTTAGCCCTGCTTTCTGAGAGTAGATACATCTTAACCAGGTTTCAGTAGGGACACTCAAGCCTTGGCAATGCAATATCTTGGTTGAGGGTTATGTACAAGAACAGGTGATACACTGTGGAAATACACTGTGGAAATATATGACCAGTATGTCACACTTTAAGTCTGAGTTTAGGCAAAGCTGTAGACCAGCCTAATCCCCCAAAATGCCACAAGTCTTTTAATTATTACCATAGACACAATTAAGGTTTTATTGAGATATGTAATACGTTTCTTCAGTTTCAAGATTTTCAATGCAAAACAAGTGATCGACATTCTTTAGATTCTCTAAACTCTTGTTGTGAAGAATACCAGTGGTGACCATTTTTAAATGCACTTTGCCCAGGGAAGATACAGTATGGATGTTACTTTATAGCCCTGTTTGAGAAAGATTGCATGTTCACACAAAGTGGGCAGATTCCTGCATAATTTACTGCAAGAAAAATGAAATGTATATCTAAATTTAAAAGGGTGATAATGGGAAATAAAACACTTCCACTTAAGGGCTCTACATACAAATAGAAAAAAAAGCAGAACAGGCTGAAAATATTTGTACAGATTTGAAATATGTTCTGGGATGAGCTTTGAGAAGCCTGTAACAGTGCAAACTGGTTAATGCCAGTGTTTGACAACTAAGGCCTCAGAGATACTTAGCCCATTGTAGCCTCTGAGTTATCTATGGCTTCAGACAGCTGCTGGATTAAGTCATAGCTAAGGCGGTGACCCAACTCTATGTACAGCTCAAAACACTGTTATCTTTAGCCGGTCAGGCTCCCCCTGCACTTTGATCAGCTTCTACTGCATGGCATTGCCCAATCAATATTTATCTTGTGATCTTTTTAGCTTTCCACTTTAGTTTTTTGAATTGGCCCCATGACTGACAATTTCCTTTTTACTGCAAGTGTGAAACGCAAACATGAGCCAGGTGCAGAAGTGAACATTTGTCAGATGTCTTACAAACACAAAGGCATTACTGTAGGTTCTCTTAGCACATTAGTCTCAAAATGTAATTTGATTCAGTAAAACTAATTAAGCCGTCGAAGTGACATTTAGAAAGTTAGTTGTTGTTACCCTTTGGAAATTACTCATGACCTGCATCATCAAACTCAACATTTAGGGGAATTTGAGGTTAAATAAAGCAAGACAGCTGTGCCTTTTTTTTTTACAACATTTTATTAATCCAAAGTACAAACATTTACATGCGTTTAATCGTCCTTTTGTACACGATGCCGGCAACTGTCATAGTCTGGAGGAAGGGAGAAAACAAAGAGAAAGAGTCCCATTTAAAAACAAGGTTCATTGAATACTGATTCAATTGTGGCATCTTTGTCTACTCACATTGAGAATAGTGTTCGCATCCACCATTTCTGTGATAGACTCGATTCCCTTCAGGCAGACTTTCAGCTTTTTGCCTTCACGATGAACCACCGACTTTAAAAAAAAGCATCATGCAATAAGTTTCAATCCGAGATGCTTACACAAATCTTGACTAATGTGCCAGACAATGGTCAAGAGTTAATGACATTAATCTGCCATTATCTCATTGAACATGCATTTAGGTGTCCTGTCTTACCTTAACCTTCTCCCCAGTGACTGTCTCCAGCTCTGCCTCCTTCCCAATAGTGAAGGAATTGACAAGGACCTTGGAGCCCGTGGTGACTGTCACTTTAAAGTGGTCCCCATTCTCCTCAATCTCAGAGATGCTCTTGATGTCTTTGCCTTTCTGGATGAGTTCATCAGGGAGCCCTAAGAAAGAAAAGCAATAGTTTTATAAACACAACATTAACAATAACTTTATTTGCCCAGTTTCATAATCACAGTGTTAACGCCTTTAAAACGTTGTGAAAGAAAGTGGGGATCTCACCAATGGCCTTCATGAAAGGCTCAAAGTTCTCCTGAGACTCCAGCTGGTACCTTCCAGAGAAAGACATGGTGACAGACAGTGATGGTAAGAAGAAGCAGTAGTTTGTTGCCTACTTTATACTCTCAAACTGCAGCGTGCAATCATTAACCCCATGGAGTCAATATTAAAGGCAACTTGGCACTCCTAAAGATTCACCACCACAGGTAAGTACTGACAGAGAGATAGAGAAGTACATGGTGTAACTGAAACGAGGTCATCCTTAGTGCAGCCGAGAAGATAGTGAACTGTGTATGCAATGTTTTGAAGTCAAAATGACTGCGTAGTGAAATAATGTAATGATATAATTCTAAGTGACTCTAACATATGGCATGGATGGTACCCCTGATAACTGCTGACAGGACATAATGTTACTGTCAGGGTTCAGATTGATGCGTTCTTCTTCCATCCTCCACTTGTTGTTCCTTCTATATATAGAGGTATATAGACAACCTGCTCCATCACTATGAAGCATCCAGGAGTCTCAGGTCTTCTGGGTCGGGTCTGCTCTCTGTTCCAAGAATAACCACTAAACATGGAAAAGCAGCTTTTAGTTATTATGCCCCAACAATTTGGAACAAACTGCCAAAATCGTGCAAGACCGCTGAAACACTTCCTATTTTTAAATCCAGATTAAAAACGCACCTATTTGCCGCTGCTTTTAATTGAGCTGCCCATACTCACACTACAGTATGCCTTTTTAGTCATGTATTCTGTACCTGCTGTGTTTATTTATTACATTTATTTCATTACCTTTGCTTATTATGCCTGTTTTTAAATGCCTTTTTAATAATGTATTTATGCTGTATTTGTTCTTAAATGTCTTTTGCTTTTAATCTGTAAAGCACTTTGAATTGCCACGTGCTGAAAAGTGCAATATAAATAAAATTGCCTTGCCTTGCCTTGCCTTCTTTTTAACACTTTCTCTCAGTCTTTTCTCCCTTTTGTCTTTACAATCCTTTCATGTCTTCCCTTCTCTCCTTTGTTCTGCAAGACGATTTGCACAGTTTTTCCAGTCCTTTTTATTGCAAATCTATGAATCTTATAGAAAATATGTTATCCTAAATGTCATTGGTAAAATATACTAGTTAGTTTGCATGCATGCAATTAAAACATGCCAGGGAAAACGGTTCCCTTAACAGATCATGCCAAAAGAAAAATTATTAAACCTTCAAAAGATGACAATTAACATAACAGGCTCCTCAGTTTAGGCTAACAATAAATTAAAGTAACTTCTCAGCATAGTTTTCATGTAATAGTATTTCTGTTCTAATATAGATATGAAAAATGCAGAAAAAGTATCATATAATATAATATATATTTTCAGTTGTATTGATGGCTGGTATACAACCCGCCTGGGGTTCATAGTGGTGTCAACAGTGTGAACTGTACTCTACACATCATTACAAAGGTACTTTGGTACTCAGTAACGAGGTCACTATTCAAGATAAGATTCCTGAAATAAAAGATCTCTCACATAGCTGACAATTAATCAAAAATATCAATCATCTAATCATTTGTCATCAGTGTTTCAGAGGGAACTCTTCAATGTAATATTTTAAATGTGTTTGCCATTTAATGTGCATCAAAAAAGCAGCTTATGTTTAAAAAAAGCTGACAGAAATTGATGAAAGGTGACGAACATACGAGATGACTGTGTTGCAACAGTGATATGTCACTGGAGTTGGTACATGGTACACACAAACACACACACACACACACACACACACACACACACACACACACACACACACACACACACACACACACACACACACACACACACACACACACACACAGTCATGTGAGGATCCTGTGGATTCACACTTTAACAGGATTATGCAAAGCCGAAAATGTGAAAAGATAAAGAGGGCTGCAGGCTTCGAGCGTTTGGTGATAGTGGTGTTGCATTGCAGCCTGATAAGCTTTCTGCTGACTTGTTCTTTACTGAATGGAAAAAATGATGTTGAGTATTTCATACTATCCTTATCTGCAGCTAAGTTTTCCACATTCAGGTGCCTCTAAAATAAAGAGAAACAACGTTTTATACTTTCTCCAAACTTTATTTCAACATGCAAGTATCTGGATGACCACTGTCAGTTTTCATCCCTATTTTCATACATACAAATATAGTGACAAAGGCACTCTACAGATATGCTCCAGGGGAAAGAGCAAAATGACAAACAGAACTACAACGTTGAACTACAACAACAAGTCCCATTTCCTGTGAGGCTTGGGTGTCAGGAGCAGCTCATTGGTGAACTCGATGAGAAGTGTGACCGGCCAGATGCAGCAGCCTGAGGAAGAGGTCAGTGGGGTCGCTGCCTTCGAACTGGCTGCTTTGGTCGTCTCCTTCCTCCTCCATGAGGCACGATTGGTCTGTGGTGCAGCTCTCTGTGGCAGGGTTTGGAAATAAAGGAGTTATCACTGAGAACATGGTGGTCTGTTGTTGCAAATATACACTTATAATACTCTGTTATCAGGTTTTATGACCCGGGACCATAACCTTTTTCAGAACAAAAGGGCAGATGATTGTAAAAAAGTCACAATGATTAAGTTAGCCGACCTCAAATGCAACTACACTATGCTGCCAATTTAAACACATTTGCAGATGTGTTACAATGTACCTTAATAGCTCAAGTATGTAACACAATAGAAAAATACTAGAAAATCAATGGACAATATTCAGGTAATTCAATGTAATGCTACTTTGTACACCTTACTTATTCAATTTTTTAAATATGAACAGGGCTTTAAATACATTGTTACGCAATAAATCCCCACCTAAAACCATATGAAACAACTAGAATCAGCTCCGTTTGGTCAACTACACTAAGAAAACTGAAACGTTGACTTTAATTAAATGTATGATGTCAACAAATTTCACATAACTGTATTAAGTTATATTAAGTTGAACCATATATATTTTTTAAACCTAACATTATTAATTTAAACTAACGTAATAGAGTTATGTGAAATCTGCTGACACAATACATTTAATTAAAGTCAACGTCTTTTTTAGTGACCATTTAAATGCTGTAACATACTGTATTAATACAATATAAGAGATTCTCGGACCCACTTTGCATACTGTTACTTTTGATTAAATGTTTTTAATAAATATTGCTGATAATATTTTTTTCAGTTTAGCTTACATTTTGAAAGCAGGACTATGCTACTTTTACTCAAGTCAAGCATCTGATAGTTTCTGTCTGAACACACTCTACAGGACATCCTGACCTGCATCACAGCAGAGTCCTGAAGCAGCGCAGCGGCCCCCCTCAGATCCACAGGGTCTACCTCCCGCCTGGCAGGGGGTCAGCAGGTAGTTCTCCTCCACACAGTGAGCTGTCTCCGGGGACCCCAGCAGGCAGCCCAGGCCCTCCCCGCAGCAGATGCTGGGGCCGAAGCAGCGGCCCCTGTCTCCGGGGCCACAAGACATGCACTGGGGAAGGAAACACTATTATTATTGCCCTTATTTATCATGTATGTCAAATAAATGTATTACTGTGCAGAGCATATTTATCATGGGATTATGTGTCAAAGAATCTCTAAAGAGAAATTCAATGTGTTTGAGAAGCTCAGGTCTTTTATGTAAGATTAAAATAAAAACATTTATTTGAGATATGTTGACAAGTAGCCAAGTAGGATTCATTAAGTGTAATTTTCCTGAAGTAATTTTTTTCAAAATCATTGCATTACTGTCTGTCCTGGAAATGGGAAATTGGATCTCACGGTTAAAGGTTGAAACTAATTGTGAGGGGAGAAGGGGTTTTATTGTACAGATAACACCATTTTAAGTGTGACTTTCGGCTGTGTGAATAAAATGTACTTGACTTAAAAAGAAAAACTGCATCTTATAATCTAATGTTATTAAATCGGTAAAAACAGCTCACCTTTCGCTGCGGTGCGTCCATGATGGACCTCTTCCCACCGATAGGACAGTTGGAGATGTAACACGCCGAACATAGAGACAGGAGGAAGAGTAGGCACATCGACACTGCGGCTCCAGTCATTTCTGCTGAGAGAGACAAACATTAGGAAAAACAGGTTTATTCGGAAATAAACCAAACAAAAAGTCCACTGACCACAAATATAAGTTAGAAATCTACTAATCTAAATAAATAAAAGCATACTTATTTCTCAGTTTCTTGAGGAGGAGAAGATTTGAAGAGTTGGTTTCAGATGCTTCTGGATGCTTCTTCTGTTCTCGGTGCCCTCGGACATGTCTTATATACTTTCAGAGCTTTTTCTGAGAGTGACACAGAGACCTTACAGCCACTTAGAGATCCTTAATGAGCCCATTTTAGTTACTATCACCTCCGGAAATAAAGCTGACCACTGTGCAGGCCGGGTCAAAAGGGCCACGCAGCTCTGTGGCCACGTTTGCTTCTTGCTGTTGAGAGGGGCTCGTGGTGCGTGACCGTGCATGTTAGAGATGACAGGAGAGTCAGAGAGGTCAGGAAATGAGTAGGGAGATGGAATTATTAAAAGCATTAATGGACAAGAGAGTATAGTCCAACTTCTGATCTGCTTGTTTTAAAAAAAGGATTTATATGAAGGATTCTATTGTAATGGGTGTATTTTACAGGGCAGATGGGGTAAAGTGAAAAAAGCTGGTTTTCAAATGTCAGAAGAAGTTTTTCTTTGATCCTCGGACCTCGGCCTTCTGAGAGCGGCCATGTTTGCTAAAGGCTGACATTTTGGTTTGTTTGTTAACAGACACAATGATTAAATAAAAGACATACTGTACAAATATTCTTTTTTATTAAAAGAATCTTAATTTTTCACGGGAATTGACACACACATTGTCCAGGTCTGAGGTTAATTGTTCTCATGAGCTAATTAAGACGGCTAATGATTGGACACAACCCATAAAAGACAGTTTCACCGTTTCAATGATATGAGCTCAATTACTGCTGCTGCCTCCTTATCTGCTAACTGCCACCTCATCTCAATTAAAAAATAAATTGAAAAACTTGTCCTTGTTCTCCAACTTCTTTGCTAAAATGGGGATTGGGACTTTGAGTC